GCATCAAGTTTAAACCAGAGGATCAGAAATAACTGCTGAGCAGTCATGTACATATGCTAATGTTTTAGATGTCATAACAGAAAAGAGGGAAACATGACTTGAAGCATCTCTTGAGTTTTTTTTCATGCTGAGCTGAGGTCTTCACATCACATAGGACAAAAATCACTGCAGTCATTTTTACGTAACTGGGAGAAAACCAAATTGATGATCAGTCACATTAATTCAACCTTTCTGCAAATTATATGAAGTGTTATTAATTCCTCAGCATTTTTTATACCATTTTTTCAAAATATATCCAGTTCTTATACAACTGGCCAGGACAGAAAATCACAGTGAGAACCAGTAGTGTTCCAGGAACATTAGGTTCTTATTGTCCTGGCATGGACTACATAAATTCATAAAATGCCAAAACCTTCTAAAACAGGTGGTTAAAAGTGGGGTGAATGAGAGGTTATTTGGACAGATTCATTGTTTTTTGGCAATAACAGTAGAGAGCATCTCTAAGAGCAAGGCCTCAAATCTCTAAATTAGATATGTGAAAGAGTGCTTCAGGTTCCTTTGCAGAAGACTTGCTGTAGAATAAAAGCTATAAAGATTGTCTGCACCTTGGTATACAGAGATTGTTTTCTAAAGGCTTCTAACTTGCCTTCATACATGTTAGCTGAATACACAAGTAGTCAGAATTTTGGAAAGGCCATATAACCTTTTACACAGTGTTCTTTAACATCTTGATTTTTGACAGGGACTAAATTAACAGAAATTAGGAGACTCATGCAGAAGTGAGATGAGTTATTTCTTCTTTTAATCTGGAGTCCTCTTGATTCAGTCTCACTACTGACTTCCTTCCAAGAACATGCCATCTATATAAATAGTTCTGCATCTCTATCCTACAATAAATATATGCTTCTTTATAGTGAGACACATTGAGCATAAACCTGGCAGCTATAAAGCACACCTCCAGAAGTAAAAAAAAATAAAAAAAATAGAACACTGGTCAGTGAGTCTGCTATTGGTACATATTCACCAAGTGTCCAGCTCTTGCCAAAGCTGGTCAAAAACCTGAAACAAATTAGTACTTCATTCCAAACAGGCTAAAGCCAGAGCCCCTGCATATCCTAATTTATATGATAGGATGCCAGATAAGCCTTCAGCTGCTGCTGCTTTTACTTTTAATTGCAACTTTCTGCCTTTGGAGCAAGGGACAGTAGTGTCTGGGACACTTCACAGGCACAGACACTCAAGACAGAAGAGGTCAGCTCATTTCAGGCTGTCCTGCACTTCTTATTGGCATTCATTCACATCTGCTGGTGAGTCGTGTTAGGGTCACTCTTCATTGCTGGAGTGGCAAAAGATCCTTTCTGTAAATGTGCTGTTAAACTTTTCAAAGTTTCCTGGCACACCTGGCTCTAGGAAATCACCCACTCTGGTGTGGATTAAGAGCAGGAAGAATGGATAGGAAAAAATATTTGGAGTACCTCATCTTATTTCTCACTGTTCTGCACTGACACCAGGAACCTTCAGAGGCCCCATCCTCTGTAGAGGAGAATCATCGGGTGTCAGCAACTTGCAGCCTGGTCAGAGGAGGGCACAGGCTAGCACATTAGCATAGCTAATTGGACCCTGACCTTTACAGGCAACTTGAGCAGTTGACTACCTTCAAATTCCTCAGCTGCCTTGTCATTTGTCTTGCTTCAAACAGTTTATAAGTCAAAATAAAACCGAATGTTGAGCTTTCAAATAAGACAAGAGGACTTGAGTTACTGACAGGATAAAGCAAAGAAATATGTTCTGTGATGTTATGCATATAGAAACCTATATATAGTTATAAGCATATATATAAAATATAGGTTTTATTAGAAAAAAGACACCTGGAATCTGCATCAAGACTGCTGAAGTGATCCACGTTCATCCCCCCATGAATTGTTAATGTTGTTCACACAAAAGACAATCCAATGTTGTTTATGCTATTTACAGTCTGTAAGATCAGCACTTTCAATCTGTTAAAGGTTTTTCTCTGAAACTTGAGTAATTTAAATTGTACATAGAAATATTTTGAATGCACAGATTAGTAGCTATATGAATTTTCTAACAGATGAAATGCCTTGCCAGCAAAGCTGTTACAGAATTTCTCAGATCTGCCTTCTTTGACAAACATATAAAGACTCTTACAGAAGTACCATCAAATAGGATAATGAACAGATTCAATCTTCAGAGACCAGCCAAACCAATTTGATTCAGCTAGTATTCCAGCAGTTTTGGGCCTCTCCCAGTTAGGAGGCAACACAGCCCTCTGATTATAGAAGATAACTCCCCCATTCTTTGTTTAAAGCCACAAAAATTACTCAATATGCTTTGGAAAATATCGTGCTTGTATCCTAGACAGGTAAATATTCTGTGAGGATCTTCAAAGAAACTCAGTGGAAGCCAGCTGTGGGAACACAACAGGCTTTCCCCACCTGAGACAGCTCTACCAGCACATTTGCAGGTACTAATGAGGAGCTGCTGCTCAAAGAGGTCTTCAGCTGGCCATCAACCAGCAACACTGACATAAGTTGAAACTAAAAAATACAAAATGTTTGCAACAGAGCAAATTGCTCTTTCCACACCACCTGCAGTCCTCCAGCATGAAATAGATGGAATGGCTGCTATAATACCAGTCAGGTCACTGGACACCCAGAGGCTATTTGTAAATAACCTCGTGTCAGTATTTACATTTCACAAGCTGTACCTATTTAAAGTATTTATCATGGTGGTTAAGAACTCTGACCAAATACCCAATCAGAGTATTGAGCACATTCTGATTGTCAGGATCATTTCCAAATTGAACCATACAGCCCTGTAGATGGATTCCCTATGCCATCAATGCACAATTTCAATTAAGTTAACTTCATCAAATTGCTTTGTCATTGTATGTTGGCTTGGCTACAATAAGCCATACACCATCCTGACAGAGTAATTTTTCTCCCAAACAGAAGAGAATAACTCCTATTCAAGTAAAGGCAGATTAAACAAGAAGCTAGCTGAAGCCTGCAAAAGAAATTCCTAATCTGCTTGTTTGCAGACTGTATCCTCTTACAACAAACAAAAAAATAATCTGTAATTTAATGTTTCTTCTACCAATTGTCATGCAAAATGTTTTGCATCATCCATGTGCCTAACAATGAAAGTAGGAACCCAGAGCTGCCCATAGAGCTGAGATCTAGGGAAGGAGGTACTTAAAGAGGGAGGAAGCAGGACAGTTGTAGGGCAGCCCACATGGACCTCATAACCAGAAAAGGCATCAAAGGCAGAGCCAGGCTACCTTAAGGAGAGAGACCTTTTCCAGCTAGGACTCCATCATGGAGAAGCTGTTTCTCAGCACTTCATTCTGCCTCAGAGGTCCACCTGGCTAGCTGCTAAAACACGATCATATCAGATCTGTTTCACCCATCTGCACAGTTTCATACATAGCTCGCACGCTTTGAGCTTAGAGCTTGACAATAGCTATTGAATTGCAGGAGTGAAAGAGCAAAAACAAACAGGTGAGGTGGCTATTTGTTGATTGCTAGGAAAGAAAGGAAGTCACTCTTACCCTATCCACTGGGGACCTATTCTATTCTACACACCCTCCCCTTGGGTCAGATCCAGACCCCATCACAAACAGTAGAAATAGCCCCATTGAGAACTACAGTCTTCAAGCCAAGTATTATATGGCAGGGGGAAAGAGGAGAAAGACAAAGAGGTCACATTAAAAAATAAACTTGTATGATAGTTGGAAGTAAGCCCTAAACGGATTCATGACCACATGTTCTACTACCATCACAGTTGCTATTGAAAATAGTATGTATATATATACACACACACATTCCTAAATTTATCTTTAACCACTAAGTTATAGAGGGTACCTCTCAACAGATATACCCTCAAGAAAGGAAAATTAGTACTTTATGTTCAAGTCTATCAGATTACTAAGAGTGTCTTCCAGCCCTTGTTGCACAGCTGGTAACTGGCTTCAAATCTGTGAAATTCCATTGTCATGTCTAAAGCACATAGATACGCGTATGGAAACTTCTCATCTTTTCTTTTACAAAGGTTGCCATCCCAGTTCTGATGCACTGCAGCTCTTCACAGCCCTGCCAGACTCAAGCCAGCGTCTACAACCAACACAGCCAGCTCTCAGGACATTGAAAGCTTCAGAGCGTTTTATTAACATTAGCTCTTATAAAATCAATTTTGTTTCTACATGCTAACCTTCACTTTTTGTAGAAAATAAAAGTTCAAACACTACAGTACCATAACACTAGGCTCTCCTATGTTGCTGCCCAGGAACATGCTTCCTCGTATGTTCTGTAGTTAGGGCAGCTTTCCCTAGCCAAATCTATAGCTTATGGATGAGTCCAAGGAACAGTTAGTAAGCTGAGACACTTAGTAAATGCCCAATTTTATCTTTAGAAAAGCCAGAAAGACACAAAACAGCATTTTTTTTAAAATGAACTCATCCATTATAAATAGCAGTAGCTAAAACAATTGCTGTATGTGGCTGACCTCACAACAGCACAAGAGGAACAAGAAATGTCAAACTCAAAGAAAATAAAAACAGCACTTTCTACATAGCCTAAACATATTTTACTAAGTTACATAATAGATAGTAAAATTTATTTCTATTGTATTTATATTTTACTAAAAAGATAACTGCATGAATTATACCACAAAACAACAAGAACAGCTCTAGACTCTCTAAATATACACATGCAAAATGCTTGAAAACCTTTACAAAGGGATTAATTCTGCAAAAGCTTACTTTGTGCTGGACCCGCAGAAGAGCACCTCCATAGCTCTAGCCCTTCAGCAACCACTTTGAGTAGAAAAAAAAGATGTTGGGGACTTCTCATCTGCTTTAATACTCTTATGGGAGAGCTATGCCAGCTGGTGCCGTCTGCATCCTCACCGCAGACACCTGCAAATGTCCTATCAGGTGTGGAATATGAGTGGTATTTAAGATTTTCCTCTGGTCCTGGCTTGCTTAGCATAAAGTTATGTCTTCTGGGGACTTTATGTATTAGTGGTTGTAGGTAGTGTAAGGATATATCATCAACTTTCTTATTTGTATGTTTTAATAACTCTAGTCAGCTCATGGAGGCTTTAAGGTGTGATACCTTTGTTGTGGTGGGGGCTTCTGATACTGTTCTTCTCAGTTGTTTTCTTCATGTTATATGCTTCTAGACAGTGTAGTTTTTCTTGCACTCTGAATGTTGCTTTGGTTGGGCTCTTCTGTACAGCAGTTACAGCTATGGGGGGGCTACAGTACTGGGATCCTGGGGGCAGTGGGAGGCACTGGGCTGCCTTTATTCTTCTGGCTGAGCACACTTCAAGATTAGCACTGTAATTCAATGTTGACTTACCTTTCTCTTACTTGTTAAAGTATAGCAAATAGGGTGGATTGCTCTCCTGTTTCTTTGGTGCTGGGTACTATACAAAGGGAAGATAAAGGTAGGTTTTACTTTATGAAAGTCTCTCAATTATACTTACTAAAAGAACTCTATCTAGTAAACAGAAAAAAAACACTATGTACTTCAGAACAACAAATCCTACTAAAACTTAAGCTAGACACTGCAACATCTTCAAATCTTGCTGCGCTTTTCTTGTAAGAGCTCCTTCATTTTCGCTGTTCCTAATGCACTCTGCCTGTCCTTTGCTTCCTGGGATCTATCTCTGGCTCTGAGCCAGCTTTTACCATGCTTTATTAGGGTCAAGCTTTAATAAAATGATACAACTCAGTGCACAAATAGTTGTATTTTTGTCCTCCCTTTGATATGGAGAAAATGAGCATAACAGTCTCCATAAAATGGGCTTTTTCAGTAGCAGAAGAGGTGAATTCGACTGTCAAAAACATCTACTTCAGAAGGCAGAAAAAGGAGCATCTAAAGGCGAAGAAAAACCTTGAACATAACATATGCATTGAGAGAAACAGAAGGAAGATTATAATACTGTCAGCCTCTGATCCTTGGAAATACTTGGTCAGAGCCAAGAAAAATCATGAGACTGACTTAGGAAAAAACATAAGGCTTTTCAAAAGCCATTTGGGCTACTTTTGTTTGACTTCTGGTTTCTGAGCCTCTTGGTTCATATTTTAGATTTTCATTCAAAAACCACAGTGGCCAGAAAATGTCTGTGTCATGCTGATGATTGTTTCCTCTTTACTTTGACTTTAATATAAATCAATAGATACTGGGAACTGGCTTTAAAAAACACAACATGGAGTGGTATGCCTCTGATAAAAATCATGAGAACTAGCAAGACTGTTCATCTCAGGAAGCATAATTTCAAGCTTTGCCTCATGGAGTGGTTGTTCCCATGTCTTGTGTGCTCAGTAGGTAGAAGCTCTGCAGTGACAGCCTGGACTGCTGCTCCTCTCTCTGGGAGGGGGCAGACTGAATTTTGCAAATAATTCCAAATCTGAAGATGAAATGTTAAAAAAATAAAATAAAAAATCTAGAGAAGAAGAGTCCCAAAAGTGGTTAATCAGAAACATTGACATGTTTTGCTTCAATAATAAGGAAGCTTTCTACTAAATATTAATATTCTACTGTGATAGGAAAATTAAAGTGAAATGTTTACTGTCTTGAAGTTAAATATTTTACTATTACTGAGAAGAAGAGATTGAAACAATCCAGCAAAACATTTCAGTTTTGACAAAACTGTATTTTCTCATTGGACTTTTCTGTCAAAACATTATGACCGGCTCTAATAAACATATGCATAATGAGTATAAACATATGTTCACTCTAAAGATGCTGGTTTAAACATTATTGCAAAATTAAATCTTTGTTTATCCACAGCGTAGACTGAGCATAGGCAACAGCTGTTCAGCTTTTCACTGCTGCATCCCCCAGTGTGCCTCGATGCTCTTGCAGGGAGACTCTGCTGCAGGGCTCCCTGACTAAAGGTGCTTGGGTTGCTCACTGGTGAACTGTAGGGGTTCAGGTCCATCCTCAGGCCACTGTCTTCAGCTATTCATTACACCTGATTTGCAACTGAATAAAATTTCTCATCGACAAAGCATGTGCGATTTATCCATCTATTGCTCTATATTCTATGCTCTCAAACCAAGGATCACCCTTGTTGCATGTAATGTTAGTAATTTCTCCTGCAGCTCTTTCAAATGCCCAGAAAATGGAAACCTTCAGAAAAATGATACCTCAGCAGTGCTCTCCAGACTATTGCTTTTCATCAAGAACTTTCCATCCCTAACGATGCAGTCAGAAGCAGCTCTAAAACAAATGTTTGTCTATATATATGCTGCATTTATTCAGGATAAATAAAGAATAAATCAGTCAGTTTGTTGTGAATAACTTCCATGGCTGATGGTCGCATACTGTTTTACTACAGCTATGGAAACATTTGTCAGGATCCTTCTCCCCTGTTAGAGGACACTAGCTCCTTTTCTATTTTTAGATCAGGTCCTGGGGTAGGGACAGATGGAAAGAAAACAAATGGACCAAAAATAGACAGGACACAAAGCAAATTGTCTACGGGTTGTATAAAAGGCAAGTGAATAGATCATTCCCTAGAAATCAAAAATTTTGCGGAAAAGAAAATGAGTCATCTTTGCAGGGGCGCCAGCCTCAGCAAGCACCTGCAGCTCGTGGCAGCTGGTCCTGCTCTGCATGTCAATGCCGGACCCCTGAGCTCCAAATTACATCGCCCGCTGCAAAATCACAATTTTTCACTACCTTTTCACCAAAAGCTGGGTGTTAATTTAGTGATAGCAAGGCAACTGAGGGAAAGATCACACGGACAAGAACGGTGTGGAAGGAAGTATTCGAACACAGCCACACTGGGTGTCTTAAGCAGGGTTTTGGCAGGAGCTCCTGCAAATATCCCACCTTCTGCTCTCGGAGCAGATGACAGGAGCTGCCTGTGACCAGCCCACTGTGGCTGGCCCTGTGCTAATCAGCCTTGGGTATGCGGGACCCCTGTGCCCCAGGGTAATATTTACCCCTCCCAAAGACAGGCTTGCTGGTTCAGTGCCCATGTATGCAACCTGATCTTGAAAAAGAGCTTGGGACAAGCCTCAGAAAGCACTGAGAGATATCCCTGAGTGACCTGCAGTTGTAAAAATGGCTCTTGTGTTGTTAGAAGTAGGTTTGTAACTGGGCTCTGCAAGTCCAGTGTCCTTGCTGGGGCTCTTTGTGCCTTCTAACAGAGCTGGAGTACCCTGGTGCTTAGAAATGTACATGATTGTGTGAATGGCACTAAATAGTCTTGTTGAGGTACTCTTCAACTGAAGTGTTTGATTTTATTATTGACCCCCCTCTTATTGCTCTCTTCTCTGCTTCTCCTAAGTCCATTTATTAGATTTATTAACGTAATTGTAAATGAATATTGTACTGTGGTTTGTGCACGTTTCATTCTTCAATAAACATGGTAAAATATAGGTTCAATTTTCAGGATTTTTATACTGTACTGATTTTTGAAACTTCTGCTTGAATTACCTATTTATACCAGCAGTATTCTCTTATTCAACATTTTAGAAACATTTTTAGCAATTAAATGCATTTTAAATAGCAGAAGCAGAAAAAAATCTGCCTTAAGATATTCATGTAGAGAACTGTTTTCAGCATAAATTGGTGGAAAATGCCCAAACAATGTGGCTTCCTAAAGTACAAATTCTGCTTGTAATTTTTAACTCTACCCACTCTCTGCCCACCTCTGTACATTGCAGAAATAGCTGTGAATTCCTCCATTTGTTGGCTGGCCCCTAATTCTGGATGAAGGTCATAAAGGCTAAAATTTAGATGCAAGGCTGAAGCTGGATGATCCTTGGATTCAGGCAATATTTATTTATTACTTTTCCTTCTTTCCCCCAAGGCTTTTAATTAAGAACACTAGAGAAGTAGGTGTTAGTGTAACTCAAATTCTACTTCAGTATTTTAATGAAGAGTGTGAGAACAGAGGACTGGGAGAGTTCCTTTAGCAATCTAAATCAAATTTCCTCCTATTTTAAACACTGGCATATACTCTGCTCTGCAAACTGATCAAGTTGTTTTAAAGAGCTACCTTTTTCCGTGTTTTGTTATCCCATGTGACGTCAGGTTTACCACTACAAACATCAAAGCCACCAACATCTCTCTTGTGTCAAAGCCTCTCATTTTCTGATCCATAGGTTTGGATCAGGAAAATTACAGTGCCATCTGTGCTTGTTTGTACATAGAGGGACCATCTCTGCACGGACATCTGGGTGGTTCTGCTCGTGCCCCAGCACTAGTATATGCAATAAGGCAGAGATAAGGGGAGAGCAAACTGATGAAGGGTCCAAATTCTGGCACTCACAGTCTCCAAGATGTTCGTTTCTCTACTTGTTTCTTTGTCTGCTGACTAGATGTAATAATATTGATTTTCTTTTCCAAAAGTACTTGTGTTGATTTGGTTGCAGGACTGTTTTCACTTCCATATCCCATAATAGCATATACAGTTCTGAAACATTAATCTACTACTTGACAGTAATCTCTTCCTGTCATTTATAACATAACCTTAGCAAAACAGATGTATTCCTACCATAATATATAACATAGCCATACTCCAGACGGCTCAGAGTTGTTTTATCAAGAAAGGATTAAAACACTTGCAAATTTAAAATTTAATCCACTCTAAGGGAGGGAATGAATTAATCACAATTAAGCCTCAGCAGCTGTAATTCTTCATATAATGTATTATCTAATGGGGATTCTTGCTGAAGAATATCTGTGAGCCATGGGCATCCTATTTCTTCTGTAAGCTTGTGCTGCAAATCAATACATTTAATAAAGCAATCAAACAAAAATATTAAATGAACAATTCTTTTATTCAAAAATCAATACAAGGAAATTGATACCCTGCCTACGCACATTTTATGCCACATTTCTCTTTCTACAGAACAATAAAAGGCTGAGAGTAGAGTGTTTACAGAGCTGAGAAAGAACGTCTTTTATTAGGGACCAAAGTATGAAGACCCAATTGCACAAAAGGCTGAGAGCACTATTTGCCTTTTTTTTTTTTTTTTTTTTTTTTTTTTTAAGCCTAGCAAAACTGCAGGAACCAAGAGTTCTTATCTGACAGCCAACCCCAAGCAAAGTCCAGGTAATCTAAATCTCAGCTACTTGCAAGGAGTGTTGGACATAATCCAGAGCTACTAAGGTTTGCACCTGAACTTCAAAGAGATGAAGAGTTCTTTGGGCTTGACGTATTTATTTGGGACCACCAGCAATACCAGAATCCATTCCTTGCATGATTTGCTGCAGCTTTAATTTATTCATTATCCCATTCATTGACACCTGTATGAGATAATTTCTATTATTTTTTCTCCTTGATAGCAGAGCATGCCCAGAGTTGGCCTGTGCAAGCCTTGTGTAAATGATCAACCCACTCACAAAACCTACTTCTCTCTTACAAACCTGTTTTGTTGGTGGTCTGGAAAAGTGTCTAGCTGTCAATGGGCATCAGAACTGTTTCTTTTCATATTCTTTCTAATAAACTGTGTTTAACCACATAATATGAATCAAACAAGCAAACAAAAACCAAAAACACATCTGTTGGAAATCAGGAAGCACTAATGATGCCCAATAGGTCCTATGAGCCTTTGCAAACAGATGTTAGGAAATGGGACGAACTAGATTACTTTCAGAAATGCATTCTAGCCCCATTCAATGAGATCTTGTCCTGTGCTGAAACTAATTTAATTTATCTTAGCAAGTCTTCTACTGTATATGGGCACAGTACATATGTGCATGGGGACAGACACTGGGGAAAGGTCCTCATATAAGTTAAAATACAAAAATGTATAGTTGTACTATAAGATACAGGCCTCATTAAACCACAGCAATATAAAAATAATGGAATACCCTAGGACAGAGATGATTTAGTTCAAACTCACTATCGTTATTATTGTTTGTTTTTGTCTGAAGTAATCTTTAGCCTCATTTCCCTATTTTCTTCCATAAATACACAAAATATTAGCTGGCTCTTTTATTCAGTTATAGCTAAATTTGGCTTTTTAATTTCAGATAAATCTTTCTGCTGCCCTAAATGGAAATACGTGCAAGGGAGATGTGCTTACCCATGACTAACAGATGTTGTGCCTGAAATATTCCTGTAAACAAGGTCTTAAATCCAAAGTTTTTGAGTGTTACACTATATTTCTTAAAAAAAAAATAAAAAAATAAAAAATAAAAAATAAAAAAGCAGTTGTTACATTTTTATTGAGATAATTATTTTTGTCTTACAATGTGATAAATATGAAATAATCATGTGACTTCCCAGATTGCTAGAAGCCATTGTAGAAAAGAAGCTTGTGCCATGAGTATTTATACCAGATGCTAATATGAGCTTGGCTTTCCTTTGTTGGAACAAACAAAATCTCACCCAACACAGTTGCATTTCATGCCTAGTGAAATCAGGGGCTAAACAGCCAGCATCATTGCTCGCACTGAGTGATGGCTCATGTTTAACTGGCACCTCCCAAATGATTATCCAAATTGGAGGAAGTCAGGCAAACGCACAGATGGTCTTCGGACAAAATTTAAATCCGTCTGGCTCTTGGTTGTCCTTTCTGTGAGCTAATGACTGTATTAATCAGAGATCAGTTTCTTGTTTGCTCGTTTCCATTAGGTAACTGGGTGGTGCGTAGATCTGTCTTCCTCATTTACTGAACTACTGACATTTCCCTCCAGTGGCAGCCAGCCAACCCTTATTATGAAAAGTAAAGGAGGGTTTTGGTATTTTTGTGGCTGCAGATTCCTGACTGGAAACAGGCAGGTATTCATTAACCTTAATCAAGCGGGTTGTGAAATTGTGAAATGTGCTCAACATGCTCTGGGCTGCCTGATTTGCGCTTGTATCTCCCGTCATCTGCCACCTGTCTCGCTCATCATGGGACCACGAGGAGCTGAGGTCGCAGTGCTCCATTTCAGCTTGGCAGCACTCTTAGAAGGGCCACCAAGGCTTCGGGTAACCCAACTCCTTAAGGACCGGTGGAGCACATGCCAGAGCACTGACTTCAAAAGGTGCCTGGGTTGTGTCCTGGAAACAGCAGAGAAAAACATATTTATCCAGTGACCTTTTGCCAGGGCTGCCTTGGGCTGTCTTATATGACAGCTGACAGGGGCGCAGCACTTGGGCTTAAGGATATTGTGTCTTCCTGAAGGGCAGGCAGGAGATGGGCTTGGGTTTTCTGTGTCTGAAAGGGCTGTTGGGTGAGGAGCATGCAGGAGAGGACATGGAGACCTCAGTCCCAGAGTTAGCCAAAGTTGTCTGCTGTTTGTTCTGGCCACGTGTCCTCTCCTGGCTTAGCAGGGGCTGGAGGTGGCTGCTGCTGATGGGGAAAGTGAGGGTGGTCTGAAGATAATTAATGTGAATGACTCCTTCACCTCTTTGCCTGGCTTCTCCCAAAATTTTGGCCCAAGCTCAGCAGTTCTGGTCATGACAACACAGACAGGTCTGGAATGCATGCTGGGCTGAGCAATCAAATAAAGAAATACTGAGAAGTGGCACTAAACACCTGAGAACAGAAACCTTCAGGTTCCTACACTACTGCCATGACTTTGGCTGGCTTTCTGAATCAGAAGATTTGTTCTGTGGCAGCTGGAATCACCTGTTAATTACTGGGACTGTACTTAAAGGCATTTGGTGATTTTGGAAAAAAATGTGTCCACATCCCACTGGACTGTAAAAACAAACAAACAAAAAAGCCTTATTTTATTTTATTTTATTTTATTTTATTTTATTTTATTTTATTTTATTTTATTTTATTTTATTTTATTTATTTTATTTTATTTTATTTTATTTTCTCTTTTATTAAAGTGAGGATTTCCACTCTTTCTCTGGATATGTGGTGGCTGTTGCAAACAAGGCAGAACTGGTTAAAGGAAGATAAGTGGAGTGTGAGCTACCAGAAGTATTTTACATTAATTTTCAATTAGCAATTATAAATTGGAGCAGCATATTCACATAAAATGTTGGTGAAAGCAATGCAGAAATTAGGATAAAAAGTTAAACTATTTTATAGGCTTTAAAGCATGATGTGGAGGGAATAAAAAACTGATTCATTCCACTCCCATCTGCAGTAGTAGGGTACAGGAATTATATGTTCCTGGGTAAATACCACCCATGGGTATCAAAGGAGGACTGCCTTTGGTTGGAGCCTCACAGAAACTGTGAATTTCACCATCACCACACCATGTTCTGAGGTGTCACCTCCTGGCATTCATCCTCTGTTCCTCCAGGGGAGCATCCCACAGCCGCTGTGTAGCACTATCTAGGCTAACCAAGAGGAAACGCTGCTGAGATGGCCATACCTTGGGGATTTAAACACCTGCCTCAGAGCAGCACTCACGTCCTTCCCCTTGGTGTCATCTGCTGCTTTTTTTTTCCCTTTTCTCTGTCTCTTTTTTTCCCCTTTAAAAGCAGGGTGTGGTGACTTTGTTCTTTTTGAACACAGCAGTTGGCCGTGCCCTGCCCCTGTCATGGGTTGCTGGTCACCATGCCCATTTCTGCATCCTTCCTGCTGCCTCGTGGGGTTCATCTGTACCAGCAGCACGAGGGCAATGCCGTAGCACTGAGCTGTATTTCATGATGATGTTGTTGCACTTCAGAAATCATAATATAGCAGTCCTTGAGCTAAGGGGACTGAGCAGGTGCAAACTGGTGACCTAGCCTTGTGATACGGATTCTCATGTAAGACAGGAACATTTCCAAGGATACAGCTTAACACCCATGGATTATATAACTCTGTCCTTTCATAGTTCAAGTCCTTAATACAGAGAAAGCACAGGCACTCTGTGAGAATGTACAAGAGCTGATTTTCCAGCCCTGGGGCTACTCAAATGAGTTTGAAGACAGAACAACCTGTGAAGCAGCCCCCAGCTCCACAAGCGCTGGTACAGCATAAAAAGGAAAGGCGTTAGCCAGGCCCGCAGAGCTGAGGGCATGGGAGAGAAAAGGGACATTGCTGGGATGCCATTCTGCAGAGTCACATCTCAGAACAGAACATCTTTGCTCCGTGATCTTATGTAAAAAGGAAAACTTTTTTTTTTTTCTTTTTCTTTTTTTCTCCTTCAGGAGGCCCCGTGTCCTTGTGCTGAGGGCAGCGCTGCCCTGTGCTGGGGTTCGCAGCCCTCGCAGAGCCAGTCCCTTACTGCCACCATGCGTCGGACCAGGTCCTGGCATACCTGGATCCTGCTCTAAAGTGCCTTTTGCCAGCTGGGTTTGCACGAACCCTTGTTGTCCTCGGAGCTGTTGGAAGAGGCATGCACAGGGGCAATGACCTCAGGGTGCTCTATTTCTGCTCTGGCCCTGGATCCAAGTTGTCTATTATTTATTTATGATTTTATTTTATTTTATTTTATTTTATTTTATTTTATTTTATTTTATTTTATTTTATTTTATTTTATTTTATTTTATTTTATCCTCCAGGGGTAGCTTTAATTTTTGTATTGGAATGAAGTAAGGATTTATGCCTTTCTATATCACTCATTATAAAACAACCTGAGAAAATGCCATCATATTGTCATGAGAATTTCCAGACCAGTTCTCAAGTCAAGTTTTCATTCAAAGTTGTGAATGGAGCTCACTTTCAGCAAGTGTATAATAGGATTCATGCATGGGCACACACCAAAAAGCCATTATTTTGCATTTATATTAAATTAAAGACATTATATGTCTTTTCTGCTTTAAAAGAAAGAATTTGTGATGGAAAATTTGACTCTATCCCAAAGCATCCTGTGAATTTAGTTTATCTCTTGTGGAGCTTGAACAACATGTAACACCCCTGAATATACTTGTTGCATTTGTCACAGACCATTTCAGATGAAGAAGGCCCAAGCAGAGGGAAATGTCACCTGCAAAGGGAGGTTATGCTCTCTACCTGTGAGCAGAACAGGTTTCTGTCATATGATGCAATATTAGTTCATGCAGACTGTCAAGCATCTGAAATTGAAACTTGTGTAAATTATTATATGGCAGAGCAAGTCCTTGGAAAACGAGAATATTTCCTTTGTCATCAGTGAAGGTGACCTTCCAAGTGAAAGGAATAAGCTGACTTCCCAACACTGAGGTGATCTGAAAGATATTTGAACAAAAGATGCATGCTGTAATATAACATGAAAAAAGGTCGGTAGGTAAGCATTAAATTAAATTACTTTTTTTTTCTTGTTTCTCTTCTGTTTATCAGCCAGTCAGCCATTTGGGAAGTACTCGCAGGAGCGGACCCGTTGAAGGACAACGAAAGCTGCCTCTAAGCTGGAAACATGGAGCAAAGGCTCCTCTTCATCCACATGAGGGAGCTCCGTTAACATTAATAGAAACTGCTTAAAATGCCATTATTACAGTGAAAAGTGCATCTCAGTCAGAAAGAACACAAGGGGAAGCAACATAAATTCATATTTTGGTATTATGCCATCTTAAATTCTCAACGATCCACTGGGTAGCCTTGGTGCCAGCATGATAAAGAAATTTGTTTATGGGAAAAGAAGTTAGGACACAGTTACAGCTACAGTCACCTAAAGATATACACAAAGTTTGCATGATATATACTAAGCTTACAAGATGATAGTTTTTAGCACAAGTAACACAGATTAAGGGGAAGGGGAGGAAATCTTGGAGTAGGTAAAACCTTGCACAAATCTTGAAGGTTGCTTCTTTTATATTATACCTGGAAAAGTCTTCTGCTGAGACTCTGAAAGGGTTTTTTTCCTACAACCCATATCAGGGTATAATAATAGATACTACTTCTCACAAATGTTTTACATGGCATAAAGAGAATCTGGAGAGTCCCAAATGGCAGGGCCTTGTTATTAGTAGAAGTTAGGTGGCTTCATTGTTTGTGCAGCTCCTTGATGTTATCTATTTCCATGGAGCATTAAGATAACAAACAAAATACCATTGAACATCTTTTTTTCCAAACAACCAACCAAATAAAATAACAGCTGCCAAACCAAAATTTTATATTAATCTAAATCACAAGATGAGATAGAAACTAACAGCACCAAATCTCAGAGGAACAGATACTGCTTTCCAGAAACCAGATGGTGTTTGGTAGTCTAATTTTGAAACAACTTATTTATTTATTTATTTATTTATTCCTTTTCTCTCCCTGTCTCCCTTCTCAACCAAACCTAGAAGCAGAATTCGTGAAACGAGACAAGGAGATTCCTTCCTGGCAACATCTTCCAAATTCGAGCAAATGGCTTTGGCACATAAAAGTTCATTTCCAGCTGAAATGTCCAAGGAGAACCCTGATATCTGAAGGTCATGGTGTATCTGGAAGGGTCCTTAAGTAACCTTAATGCACCCTGAAGTGTGTCAGGGCAGGTGACCCCCTAGAGAAAGAGGGAGATAAATCACCATGAGAGCAGCTCCCTCACACAGCCAGGAACACGTTTTGGAAGGATAACGTGCGCACAAGCTCTGAAGCTGGAGCCTCTCTCCCATCCCCAAAGACATGGCTGGTACACAAACTCCACACATCTCGCCAGCCATGCGTGAAGACGCCCTGTTCATCCCTGTGCTCTCAGCCAGGGTGGTCGTCTGTGTGGAAAGCCTAAAGCAAACAAAGGCAAGCTGCAGCCAGATGTTGGGAGGCTTTCAGGTTCACTTAACGTTCCCGGGGTAGGCAGCGCATGCATGCCTGTGCTCCTCGCTCGGACGGATAAGCCCAAGCAGCCATACCCTTTAAAACCTTTCCCTTTGCAATGGAAATCACTGCTTACCTTTCCAGAACCATCTGAGCAAATACGGACCTTGCAGAAAACGTCAGCAATTCCTGATCCATCAAGGCTGTGCTAAACAAACCCGGCCGAACAATTTACAACTTGACCTCATGTTGTGCCTGTAAATGGATTCTGTGAAAGGCCTTTTCTTAGGTTAGTTATATTTTCATGGTGTATACACCAGGGTAAATTAGCCAATTCGACAGTTCCCCAGAATCCCCTTGGTTTTGCTTTTTACTGGGGAGGGGTGATTTTTACAGGACCTTGGGGGAGATTTCAGAAGGGACTTGTTGCAAATCCTTGAAGCTCTGCTTTATCTCCTTAGACAGAAAGCATTTTCTTTTTTGTCTGGGGCAAGAAATTTTGCTCTTCTGTGTACTGAAGAATATTCTTGAGAATGACTTCTGAGTGATTCATGATCAGATGTTGAAAAAAAATCAACTTATTTGTAAGTCCCGTGTGATAGATTTGGACTGATTCCTCAAGAAACACATTTTAGAAGCCCCCTTAATATTTGCATGGAAGAAATTGTTGTTCTCAACTTGTCCTATTTCAAAAGGAAAATCAATTCTTGTGTTCGAAGCTCCATCTTGTACCAGATACAGAATCTGAGGGAAGCACACCATCTTCCTCTAAGAAAGAGGATTTAATAAGGTATTTCCTTAGTAAATCAGGACGACAGTTCTAGAGAGGAATAAAAGACATGACACCGAAGGATAACTAGGGCAAAAATGTTACACAAACTGCTAGCATTTTTCTCATCTTCTGCTGATGACACTTCCATGTCATGTACCCTAACACAATAAGTTCAGGATTTGTTTTTGCACAATAAATCTCCTAACCCACATGTGGGAGACTCTGACATGATGTTTCTATAAATAATTTATTGTGAATGAACAAGAATGAATATAAATTCCTTCTTCTGTCTATATGCACAAATGCTCCACTACTTTTAGAAGTGACCAGAACCATCATTTTTTTTACCTATAATAACATGAAGAAAAGAATATGATAAAAACAGGGAAGACATGTCTGATTGAGAATAATTTTGGAGCATTAGTATTGCTCCAAAATAGTGTTACAGGAATAGATATCCAGATCTAAGATGTTGATTGATGTAAGGCTGACGAAGGAGCTCTTTGTATATGTAAGAATTGTTTTGTTTCTATTCCATTTCTATGACCACATAGACGGGGTGATATAGGTAGTGTAAGACTTTTCAGATGTGTCTTTTCAAAAAGATCCTGCCAGTACAGACTGGAGTAATGTATTGTTCCCACAAGTTTGCCACACTACTTCTTGCGGAGTGTATCAGACGTGGGGGTTGCCATTTCTTGTTTTGTGCTGCTTTGTGTTTCAGTACAAGTCAGTGACAGCTAAGTGTTAACTGGAGCTAAGCACCTGCTTCATTCAGTGGGAAGAAGAGATCAGGAAGGGAAAATGATAGGAAACCACCAAGCACCCTTTCTTTCTGTTAGTGTCGATTGTCGCGTTTCATTTCCTCAACTATGCCAATATCACTGCTGAAGTCGTGCCATAAATGCCTCTGGTGCTGCCAGGTGTGTCTTATCCCCATAGCTGTGAGCACTACGATGTTGGGTTGGTTTCTGCTGGTCTCTGAGAAGCCCTAGGTAGTAGCTGGGTGCTCATCGACACTACTGTCCTCCATCAAGAGGAAATCTCCTTGTGCCTGAATGCCTATGGAGACATAGTGTGGTATAGCTGAGTAATGGTTGTCCTCTAGTCTTCAATAATGGTACAATATCAAAAATCAACACAATCATTAACATTAAAGATTACTTTCATCGCTGCCATCTTAGTCACATGCATATTTAGCCACTTAAGTCATCCTTGAGACTGCTAGGAGCCTTGATGCATTTAAGATTTCCCTCATCAGAGATTTCAAAGTCTGCAGCTCTTGATAAATAGCAGAGGACCTACCCCAATGAATCAGATCAAGGAAAAAACCTCTACCATGTCTGAGAGAACAGCATATCCAAACATACTGGGATGATTAAGGAATACCATTCTTGTTTCTAAATTAACATTCACACTAAAAAGTATATTTAAATCACAAAGGAGAAAGATGACGTAGTTTTTCCTGCAAAGAGATCATGAGTTTGGTCTCCCAATAATTCATGCCTGGATTATATTAAAATTAAACCACTAATTTCAAAGGCCTTCCTGAAAGACAATTTAGACTTCTCACACTCCTGGCTAACCAGCTAATGAGCATATATATGGCAGATTTAAACAGGATTAAGTAGCATATTTCTTGTGAGGTCCTCAGAGCTGCATCATTTTATGTTGCTTCCAGATCTGGTTCATGAACTACAGTTTGATGCCAGCAAGATGACAGTGAAACATAGAAACAGGTATCATAGCCAGAAAAACAGCGCTTTTAATGCAAAAACAGTAATTTAGATTCATGTCCATGGCCCTCAGAAAGAGTTTACTATTCAAATCTGTAAATTATATGAATTTTCACAGGAATAATTACATAAAGGATAAGAAATACATTGTTGGAATCTGAATGACAAGTAGCAATTAAGACACTAAGTTTTTAGCATACTTTTACTAACACATATTTTCACTACTATATATTCTTCCTGTGTCCTCCTTATCCTTGCCTCCCTCCCCTGAAATGGGATTAGAGGTCCAGTGCAGAGCAGAAGGGAGAAGAGCACATCTGGGGCAGGGCGGATGCAGAGCACCGGACCGCGAGCTGCATTCAAGCTGCAATTCTCACGATCCCCAGGCTGAACTTTGTAAACAGACTTGGCAAGGATCCTTGCCTGGAGAAAATAGGCTCAGAGAAGGTATAAACAAATCAACAAAAACCTTCCTTTCCTTCTGCAGTCCCTCCTCTGCCTTGAACTCCAGGAGGACATCTGTCTGGTCCTTTGCAATTTGGCTGTGGTGACTTCTTCATTTCACGCTGAGAAAGGCAAATCATTTACATCTCTTTATTACAGTCCTGCTTCTGAATGGGGGGCACAGCATGCACTCAGCAGCTCTGCAAAGGGGAGATGTTCATTCTGCCATACCCTCTGAATTAAAGTCCCAAGATTAAGCTGCAAAGCTCAGGTGTGAATGAGAATGTGTTCCTATTGGAAATTGATTCTTTGTCTTTTATTTTAGAGTCAAGCTCCAGGTTTCTGAGTATAGACCAGAAATACCATGCACCCTAAACTTATATTTCCCTAGTGTTTATACATGCAACTAAATATGATGGAATATGTTCTCCACAGCTGCTGAGAATCCTCCTGGAGAACCAGAAGAAGACTTTTACAGCTGGTATAACTCAAAGCTAAAATTAACAAACTCTATACTACACGGGTGCAGCACTGATGTAGCAGTCAGTGAAAGTGTTGCTGGAGAACACCAAGTGTCTCTCAAGGTACTGAGTGTCCATCCTGAGGTGGTGACTCGTGCTCTTAGAGCAGTAAAGGGGACAAGAAAGTCTCAGCATTTCCATGGAGAAGCCAGGTTAGGCCCTTTGAGCAAATCCTACTTAATGTTGACCATAGAATATGTTGGGATGCAGCCTGGCAATGTGAACCATGAAAAAAATACTGTCTTTGGTGGCAAAGCTGTGTCCTGCATACAAACAGGAGTGCTCAGAGCCTCTGTTTGATGCTGATTTGCATTACAGAGGAAGCTGCAACATTGAGGGTGGAAAGAAAAAGCAAGTCAGACCTTTTTAATAAGCTAGTGAGCCACCAACGAGCTGCCCACCTTTTATTTACTGTAAGGCTCTGAGCCTCTATTTGGCGGCACAATTGTGTATCTCTGCACAATTACAACATTGCCTCTCCTCATTGCAGACAAAGAAGGGAAGGCATTCACTTGCTCCTGCCTGAAAGCTGCCTTCAGCTATTCGCGAAACCATAGATACATCTGCTTGTACCATCCAATCCCGGAGGTTTCCCCCAGAGGGTGAATATCCAGACATTGTCATTTCAGCACAAGAATCTGGATGCATTTATTAATCAACCTTTTTTGCTGAGTGGAAGTCTGGCTGGCCTCTCCTAGTATAGTCTAAATCCCTCAGTCTGTTTCTATTACAAGACTTACACAAAAGAACATTTTCTTCCACTCTTTCTTACAGAAATGGGAAGACTTGAATGCTTTTTTTTTTTTTTTATGGGTCTTCTTTTGACTGACTGGGATTTTTCATGGCTGTATCAGAAAGTTGGACATTCCCTTTTGTTTCGGAAGCATTCGGTGATGGATCACATTTTAATTGGCGTTGAGGTTTACAGAGAAAGGGAGCACCACAGGAAGTTATTAGAATAACAACACTACGCATCTGCACAGGAATTAAAACTGCAAATGTAGGGGGCATATTAATTGCTACCAAATGCTTTGTTTTGCTCCCCCTTCAAAAAATCCAGCTGAACAAAAATTTTACTTGATGTACATTTTTCTTGTCTTTCTGTTTCAGTAAAAATGTAAGTGATTAGATTTGTGTGATTTTAGCCTTGCATATAAAATTTCTTATACAGCATGTTTCAAAGCATTTACAAAGGAGATAAACACATTTGTTTTGACAAGACGGAAACTGATGACTGCAGACAGATATGGCTTGTCCAAGACTGTTGTTCCCACAGTGAGACTCTGAGCATGGTCTATGCTTGTTCATGCCAAGGATGGTCAGAATGTTTTGCCTGTACTTTGTATTTTTTCCCCATGAAATAACTGATCTGTTGTCACAAAGCCATAATTCTTGTTGTTGCTGAAAATAGAATATGACGATTGTGAATAGTTTGTTATCTTTTAGTTGACATTTTAACCTTTTTTTTTTTTAATAAAAAATAATAAAAACAGGAGGAAACAAAACAAATTTTGTTTGTAGGTATTCATAAACAATTTCAGCTGATTGAAAAACTATTTTTTTCCTGTTCAGGAAAGAAGGCTGGAAATATTTTGCACAGCCCACCACAGAGGCTTCATTTCTTTTTGTCTTTATTTTATTATAAGTCATTATTTTTCTCTGTTCCTCACTGATAATACTCCATAAGTTTTCCTTCATGTTACTTCCTAAAGGCAATGCCCTATCATCCATAGCTGTAAAAGGACATACCTGGAACAACTGGTGGCTTTTCTGGCAAGTATTATAATACAAAGAAATAGCCTTAAATAAGTAGTAGTTTTATGGGCAGTATCTAATTTATATTGGAACACTCTTGTATTTGTCACATTACTACAGACAAGTAAAAAAAAAAAATTTTTTTAATTATACAAATCTGTTTAATGTCATTGTATGTCATTGTTTTACATTTCTACTACCGTAACTACTAGCAGAACATGGCCATTAAATGTCTGTTAGGGCTTGGGTGTTATTTACTTAAGGCCTGGTCTTCAGCCACTAACAAATGTTTCCTTGAGAAAGCAAAGCTCTTGGGTATCTCCCTGGATTTGGTGATGCTTTACCAGAAAAACTGCAGGAGACAGGCTGTACTGTTGGTTCTCTAGACAGAGAAATTTTCCTGCCAAAAACAAAAAGAAAATTTAGGCTTCTTTTTTTGCAGATACCAACTTACTATGCAATCTGTTGCTTTTCTTTCCCATCATGAACGTGAGAAATCCTGAAAAATGACTTACTTTTGGAAAGGACACAGGTGGATTGTTTTGACATCTGCAGAAACTCTAACTATCATCAGCTGAAAATCAGCAGTTTATTTAGCTCTTCATGTGCATTTCACGTACCTAAATATTTGCTCAGTTTCACCCCTGAGAGATAAGATTTGCATGCTTGGGGGTGATTTGACATTGGAAGAAGTCCCAAGAGGACACAAAATGCCACATGAAAAAGCACATCCATGCTATCAAAGCTTTACTACTTTGGTCTTCTTTGTGATCTCCTAATATCTCTTGAGCTTCTTCAGTTTATTGGGCAGACAATGCAGACCTACTACCCATCAGCTTCAAATACCTTGTGACTGTCTCATGTAGATCATAAAAAAGAAAGAGAAACAAATACATTTGTTTATGTCAGGCTGTAATTACAGAGGAGCACTTGAAAGGTGTAAAAGCCTGCACAGCTCTCCTCAGCTGTTGGCTTTACTCCCAGCTGGGCTTGGCTGAAAGATCTCCAGTGCACAGGTGGGATTTTAGTGAAATAAACAGCACCATGGGGATGTCAAGTGCTTGTTGATAAATTCAATCACAAGCTTCTCCATGTCCTGGTCTTCCTCTCCCATCTTGCACATCTGTGACTTTGGCATCAGGCCTAGAGGAAGGACACACAGCTGAAGCAAAGAGATCTAAGCCAAGAGAGCAGGCAAGAAAAACCTGTATCAGATGGGATGCAGACAAAGACAGTGAAGAAAAAAAGAAAGCCAAGACCTTGGACCCTTCAAACTGAGAAGGCACCACAAAGAGTGTGCTCAGTTGGCTGGTGGAGCATTGCTTCTGTCCATGCTTCAAGTGGCAGACCTTTCTCTTTCAGGCCAAAAAGACAATGGGTTGTCTAAGTGGCATGTTTGGCACCTTGCTGTTTCACAGGATCACTGACTTTCCATGCCTGTCGACCCAACTGCTAAGCACGGTATTGTCAGCTAGGCTTTTTTGCTTGAACAAATACTTGCAGGAAGAATCATGCCCTGTAAGTGTGTTTCCAGGCATTACCTCATAACAGTTGTTTCTAAATCTCCAATGTTTTCCCTGCTCAGAAGAATTTGCCTTTATGTGAGAGAATAAAAAGAAGTGACAGTAGGTGACAGCTGCAATGGGCTGTGTTTGCTGGGCACTCTGTTTTGTGTCACTGCTGAATTGTTCTGGCTGGGGGGAAGTAGGCAAACCACTGCCTCAGAGTTCCCCATGGGCTCTGAGGAACAGTGAAAAATATTGGGATCAGACGTCTGGCTCAGGACAGCCAGGAATTTTCAAAGCTTACTGCTGGGAAATGCTGATTCATCAAAACAGAACCCATTCATAGAAATGGGTTGGTTTTGTGAGTCTGGTGACTAAAAAAGGAAAGCTTTCATTGTGGGGTGAAAGTACATGTGGTAATCTAGATGAGGAGTGGAATCGAGCAGACTCAGTGGGCATGGGAAGTCAAGGGACCAACCTGTCCAGGGCAGCCAGGCACTCTGGAAGTAGGGTTTCAGCTTGTTCCTTCATAACGGACAGTGCTGTTTAACACAGAGGAATTTCCATCTCGGATTTCTAGTTGAATTCAGCTGTATCTTAGGGATCTGAGTTCATAGGCTGGGATGCAGATTAATTCTGATTATATCCATTAAACATTCCTGCTAAGAGCCAGTCATTCATCCCTCACTCTCAGCAAAGATTTTGAAATTTTTTGCAGGCTGATTCAGACATTTCTACAAGGAAGGTACTGAGACCTAGCAAAACCGTTTTGTGATCCTCACTCTAATGTTCAAATGGTGATATATAGGTCAGAGAAAGAC